GTGTGTGTGTGTGTGTGTGACTGAATGAGGTTTGCAGTAAAAAGCGTGATACATGTATCAGTCCGTTTGACATGCATTAAAATGTATTTGATGGTGCTTCTGTAGTTATTTATTTAAAGGTTGAACTCAGTCACCAATTTCCGTGTTTACTCATGAACACACAGACCCCTCCGTTTATTTTCTTACTCCTTTTCTCAAGTTTTACATTAATTTTTGGAAAATTTTTCCCAAACTTTTTTCTGTGCTTCTACTCAGCAAAGACGGACTGAAAAAGAAATTCACACTTTTGTTTTTAATATTTCACGTGTGTGGGGGTTCATTCATTTATTCACTGGATTATTTATTACTTTATTTGATTTTGACAGCTGCGATCATAATGATGTCACACTGTGATGTCCCAAACTGCAGACAAAAAACGTAACAACGTCTCAGTTTCTGTAAAATTTTCTGTCCATAAGTATCTGTGCAAAGACAAACAGCTTGTATTCTTCTCTGTCTGCAGTATTAGTGAGTCGTAGTACTGCAGTACTACGTGTACAGATGCTGGAGGACCAGAGTGTCCTCAGAGTACCCCCCTCCACCCCTCCACTTAAGAGAGATGCTGCTGCTGGTTGAGCTGATGGAGCACTTTATACCATTCAACCATCCCGCTGAGTCAGCAGCTTCACAGAGACAGAGAGGAGGGAGAGGAGGGTGAAGGAAGGTGAAAGAGAGGAGAGGAGGAGGAGGAGGAGGAGATGAAAGAGCAGCAAGAGAGAGAGAGAAAGATGTGGAGGAGATGATAGAGGAGAGGGGAGCATGGAGGTGAAGGCACAAGAGTGAAGAGCAGTGAGATGGAAGAAAGCAGGAAGAGGGAAGATGACGTCATGGCGGGTTATCAGCGCTTCATGGACAGCTGAGCTTATGTACAAGGAGGAAGGTGCAGAAACATGACGACCATTAAACATCCAAATGAAATCTGAGGAAAGAGAATCTCACTTTTCGTTGGCCCGACTCACTGCTCCCAGCATGCACTGGGCTGATGACACGCTCATTCTTATAAGTGTAAGGACCAAAGTCCTGTACTCTTCGCTCCCAGTTTCAGAGATGTTTTTAGCACATTTCACCACAGGGACGACCTCATAGCAGATTTTCCATCTTGTTTGGATCCGATATGGAAGCAGCCTCCGCACGTTCTGCTCACTGCAGAACGTCTGCACCTGTTTCTGATATTTAATAAAATGGTTTCATGGCTGAATGTTTCCACTTTACAGACTTTATTATTTATCTGAGCAGCGCCTGTTAAATCTGCAGATTTCTGACTGCGATCAGAACATGCCAGTAAAATCTCATGATTTTTGAGTGGAGTTCGGTGTAAAGTCCTGCAGCTGCTGCATCAGTGGCAGGTTTCAGGTGAGGTCCCCGCCCCCCACCTTACACTTCATCTCAGAATATACTACTTTAAAGAAGTGAGTGTCCTGCGCACCCTGGTAACCAAATTTAAAAGCTCCTGATCAGAAATAATCAAAAAAAGGATCTTTTAAATTCAAACTCACTCCACTCAGTCTGAACCGAGCAGCCATTTCTCTTCATCCACGTCACGCTCTACATATTTATTTACATTCATTCGGCCCTCGATTCATCTTTCTTTATAGTCAGATGCTCTGGCAGCGCCGTTCATCTGGTATCCAGACCAATAAAGCAAACTGAAGTGAAAGGAGAGCAGGAAGAGGAGATTAAGACAGAAAGATTTCCATTTGGAAGATGAACACAGATGGAGGGAGCAGAGCAGTGAGGGAGGAGGTGAGCGATGTGACGGGGGACAAAATCTTAATGTCCAATTAGTCTGGACTGATTAACGTTTCTAACAGAGACAGTTAGAGCCCACTTTATTAGGTACACCTGTAAAATCCATCACAGATCAAACTGTACAACCTTTATACTGAAACTATCTGCACTTTTCTTGTTCCCACGGCGTGCGTTCACGTGAAACGTGTTTCTAATTCAAATGTACACACACAAACACACACACTGCTCACTGCTGTTCAATGCCTTCATTCAGAGCAGGAAACTCAGTGAGGCCACAAAGGCAGCAAGGGTTCAAGTAAAAAGGAAGCAAGTGAGGAGTCCAACTCTGTGCTTCACCATCATCAGAATCCAAACCATGAGAGCAAGATAAAGGACAGAACAGCCTTAGAGAGAGCTCAACAGCAACAATATCCTCACATCACCGAGGATGTGAATGCCCTCCATCGCTATTAGCATCGTGTGTGTGTCTGTGTGTGTACCTTTGCCATAGGTAGTGATGTGCTGCTGTCCTCTCTCCTCCTCTCTGGTGCCTCCACCTACACAAACACGCAGATCAGAGTGAAGTCAGGTCCATCCACAGAGGAAGACTACAGAAGAGTGTGGAGGCATGAAGGTTCACCACAACTGCACAGTGCTCTCCCAGCGGGAGGCCGAGGTAAGATTTCAGCAGGTAAGAGTCCACTGCAGTTCATTCATGTGATGCAGACAGAAGGAGCTCTTTTCATTTACTCTCGCAGCTCTGACATCGCTGCAGAATCACTTTCCCAGTGATGGGAATATATTTGCTGGTGGATGAACAAACACTGGAAGCGGTTGATTTATGCGTTCAGGCATAAAACACCTTCAAACCTCGGACCTACCAAAACCTGAACCAAAAACCAGGAAATCTGGGTCCATGTTAGTCACCTGCCAGGTGAGCAGGGGTCAGGGTTACGTTTTGGACTTACCACCAGAGGCTTCCGGATTCCCAGGCGGACCATACCAGGCGGAGCACACTTGAGAACCTCAACAGCCTCGGCCAGACTGAGCATGTCCAGCTGGGTGCGGTTGACCGACACAAGCTGGTCTCCGGGGAGCAAACTGCCGTGGAGCTCCGCTGAACCACCAGGTACCAGAGACCGGATCACCATCACACATCTGCCGGGGTCCAGCGGGTCCTGCGAGCCGGAGAGGAAAAACGTTAAAGCAGAACACCAAATTTTACCTCCTGTAGTCTGATGCTACAGTCAGGACTGGGCCCCCAACGAGGGTCGATCTGTCGTTTTAATCACATAAAATGGAAATATTAGCCCCTCCCCTGGAATAATTACACCTGAAATGACCTCGTGTTTGAGTGATCTAAAACTGCTCGCCAATTTTACAAAAAAGGTTTAAAAACAACACAATTTCATCTTTTTTAACATTAACAATAAAAAGATACTTTCCTTGGTGGTCCACGCCCCATAGTTTGAGAACCACTGTGAATGAACAGGTGGGGATAACATTAATAATTAGTAATAATAATCAATGATCAGGAGGAACCGCCTGAAACAAGTGCAGATGGACCAACAAACTTTCGTCCGGCAGAAACGCCAACTTTAAGGAACCTGGGAGATCGGAACTTTGTGGTTTGGAAAGTTGAAAACATCCATCTTTCCAAACCAAAAACAGCACAAAGACAGAAATGCCCACATCTTCAGAGCTTCAAAAGAAAACCACAAAAGGTGGCGAGTCCAATCACCTCCTCCTCACCTCCTAAGACTACCCGACCTGTATGAGAACCTTCACCGACTCTTTTGTGTCTATGTTTGGTATACCGAGGCCATTAGAGCAGCTCCCAGTTTTAGTTTCATCAAGTTTAAAACCAAGAGCCTCATCCACTGAGTCGGAAATCTTTAACCAACTCTCAGCCCAGCATGACCGACCCCAGATCAGCCGAGCTCATATTTCACACAGAGTCGAGGGAAGTGGGACAACGACCATTACAGATCATCCTGTCTGTTTCATCACTCTCACAGGGAAGAGCGAGGAAGACACACCGCCATCATCATCACCACCACCACAGAGGACAGGCAGGGGGAGCCAGAGACCAGAGAAATAACAGCAAACACATTCACACAAACACACAGATGTGAGGAAGACGAGGCTAAGGATGTTCAGCGACTGATGAAGACAACACAAGACCACAAGAGTCTGCGGACGTTAAAACCAGACTGAACTCATTCAAGACCCCGGGGAGCAGTACGTCTGCCACGACGCTGAAAATCTGTTTTTCTTTCTCTGACTCTAAATTTCATGTAAAATATCCATCTATCCCTGTTTGGGCCGAGTGTCAGCACTCTGAGAGAATTAATCTGAGCATTTGGTTTGTGATGGTCGCTGCTGAGGGCAGCAGTAAATAAGCAGCTTTTATCCTGCTCATGTTATTAGTCATGTGCTGTGAAAAAACGATTTTCCTTTTCTAAAATCAACCCTCGAACCTTAAACAAAGCCGCATGCTCTACAGCTTTCTAAGAAATTAAAGCTTTGCTGCATGTTTACTGACATGACTCTGAGGTTATTGTTGTCTTTAAATTCTAATCAGATAAAAACTGTGCTGTACATCTCCACAGGTCAGCCAGGAAGAAATAAGAAGCACGTTATACATTTTCTTTATTTGACCTGTGATTTGTCTCAGGACACTCATTTTCTCCTCAGCCTCGTAAACACTTCACCCACAGCGAGTGACGCGACTAATTAATACCATCGTTGCCCATCTGAAGTGTGACAGAACATGTGGTCTGCAGGCGATTACCTCCTCCTCCGCTGGCGCTGCTCTCTGCTCAGAGTTTTAACCAGAGTGACTATAAGGCCGGCCAAACCCACGCTCCCCCCAGAGCCTCCCGCGCCACTCTCAAACCCTCTCCTGGTGCGAGCGGATGTGCGCGGCGTGAATTCCCCGGCGTCGAACCCCGGGCATCGCCCGCGCTGCAGTACGAGCTGCCGTGCCAAGTTTGAGGCTGCCAGAACAAAGCCAGCTATATTTTTAGACTGAACAACATGGCTACAGGTGGTGAGGAGTCAGAACTCACGTCCTCCACTCCTACAAGATCCTCCGGAAAAAGAAAGGCCGCCGCAGTCAAGAAGTGGAGGAATCAGAAAAACGTAGGAGGGGCTGGAAAAAAGAAATTAGAAGCGTTTCTGCCAGGAGTAGTGAAATGTTTCACACACAGAAGAACGAGCAGGGTTTGGGTGTTTTTGGATATGTAGGTTGCAGGGCGTCTGCACAAAGTTAGACTTTTGAAGACCTTCGCGATGCCACAGAGAATCAAACTCGGGAGGTTTATTCACCGAAATAAACACGAGCCCAAATATTTTAGGAGCTCTCACTCAACTTTACATTTGTTGATTTAAAGAACATATTTCAGGACCTTTCAGCGCCTCTCGTGTTTTATCATATTTTTGACTTTAAAGAACTTAATCAATACTTGCCCGAAACATTTGGACGCTCCACGTTCTCTTACTTTAACGTGGGCTTCGTTGGAAAACTGGCAGAAACCTGAACGCAGCTTTCGGCCACTCGCCCATCAGCGCTTCACGGGCATGTACAGACTCATCTTCTATCAGGCAGAAAAATTCATTTTAATTAGAAAAGATTCATCTTTGGATTCTTCAAAACAAAACGCCCTTTTGGAAACTTGAGCGTGGCGACCTCAGAAATAAAAGAGAACACAGACGTGGAGTCATCTCACGAATCAGAAGAACCACGTCCTGCACAGACTATATGAGGTTATTACCCAAACAAAGATGAGTCTCATCATGTTTAAGAGAACATGATGAGACCCATGTTCTGTCTTATATGTTAAGAATAATCACATTAGAAAGCTGTGTGAGCGCTGCAGCTGTGAAAGTGTTTCTGTTCACTGGGCGAAAACACCGGGTCTCAGCACTTCACTGCCCTCCAGCTCGCGCTGCAGCGGTTTGTGTGTGAAGGCTCGACGTGAAGTGGGACTGGCACGAGCCGTCACAGCGCTTGTGCCGTGCTCTGGTGGGAGGAGCCTAAGGACTTAATGACAGCAGGAAGGGAGATTTTAAAACCTGTTATTAGAGGAAATTCGAACTCTGTCAGCTTGTTTTAAAGCTCGGGCGTGCCAAGTGCTTCCATACGTGTCTGGCTGCAAACAGGTGAGACTCGCTTTGAGATAAGTGTTTTTCTAAAAGCTGACAATAGAGTAAGGCAGAGTTTGTCTTCGTGTGATGAACACTGTGGCGGCTTTGATTCTTCTCATATCCTGTGACCACCAGTGCATCTGTGATCCGGCCGTGGCATAAGGATAAAGAATCGTACCACCCTCACGCCGATGGTTTCGGACCCGAACTGAGCTCCTTCAGTCTTTGGAGAACACGTTCGTATTTGTGCCACGAATCTGCTCGCTCTGTTTCAGAGGAAACTATGAGCCAGAATCCAGACAGACAGCAGCTCTCCTCTTATTGCCTGCGGCCATCTTTCACTCAGCTCTGACAGGCGAGAGTCGGTAACAGGAAACAGTTTGGCAGGAACATCGGGCCGACGTGCCCTTGGGCGAGAGATACAGAGAGCGGAGAGGATAGAGAGGGTGAAGGTTTGTGAGGAAGTTGATTTGTTTTATTTTGTTAAATATGATGCAGGTCGGATTGACTCTAAGGCAGAAGCTTCACTCTTACTGCCGATGATTTTAAATCACATTAAAGTCAAGCAGGAGAGAAACCGAAGTAACACGATGAGTCTGAGACTTCGTCATCAGGTCCTGAAAGCCCTGGCTGGACTCCGTCCTATGGACCTACAAGCTTTGTGACCCTGAGGAGAACCAGAGGCAGCCCAGAGCACTACGAGGACACGTAACAGAGACGTGATCAGGCATGAACAAAAGGACCTCTTAGGCCATCATTTTACTTTTAAACCATCAGACTGTTTTACAGGCACGTCATTACAGTTTGTGCTCTAGAACAAATTCACTGGAGAAATCCTTGGTGATCCACAAAAACATTTTCCTCCCCGACTTCACGCACTATTTTGGGACCACAAAGCATGCTCAGCAGCCTCCTGCTCAGCCCGTAGAGCTGCTGGAATCCAGACCAAATTCTAATCTCAGTTTTCCAACAGCGAAGCGGTTACGTTCATCGTTTTACAGCAAAGACAGTGTGGAAGTTTCACTCTGCACAAACGCTGCACCAGGAATCACGGCAACAAAACGTTGCAAACATCTGCAGGACGAGGGCCAACAAGAGCCAGAAACACAAGCGGATCACACTGTGTAGCTAACACACACACACACACACACACACACACCTCTCTCTCCTAGGCAGATCCTGTGTCTGCAGGCTGACATGATGTGGACCAACTGGGAGTTATGCTGGAGCTCGCTCCACCACCTCAGCTGGGTCTGACAGAGGAGGAGGAGGGGGCTGAGGTCTTAGAGGTGAAGCTGCGCCTAAAGATAAAGCACTGAAGCAGGTTTGGAGAAGATAAAGACAGCAGACACACCAGAGTTTCCCAAATTTACTCCAGAGACAGCGATGAATCTAAAACCTCTGAGATGAGCTTCACTTTAAAACATTTCAGCTTCGCTCCGTTTACGCTGTCCTGTGAGGAGATGGGAAACACGCAAGGAGATGGGAAAGAGTACCAGTGGCACCTTCCTGTAAGACAGCTGTTTGTCTGGACTTGGAGCTGCCTGAGCACTGGGGTTTTCCTTCCATCCTAGAATTTTTGGAGTGTCAAGGTACCCTTGTCCCCCTCTGAGGCTCTGAGATTCCGCAGGTGTACCTCACCCGACCTGTCCGACCTCAGTCCAGAATGTGTCCAGATACTTCGGAGGTGTTATCAAAATGAATTCCTTTAAATTGGTCACGTTCCCCTTAAACAACGTTTTCAGTGGGACGTTGACATGGTTCACAGCCACAGAGCAAAATTAAAGATGGAAGCTGGTTCTGGACACCACTTTCAGAAATGCTAATGTTACCGCCGGCTTCACACAAACAGCCGCAGTCATCGACCTGCAGTCTACCAGAGCGACGTGAAACTAGAAACAAGCAGAGCGAAACGTGAGGAAATGCTAGCAGCTGGACGGCAGCAAAACCTTCACAATAGAAGGCTAAGAAGAAAGTCGGATGTGCACACAGACACCTGTTAGGTGAAACCTTTTCAGACTTTGGGAGGCCAGTCTGACGTGGTCTCCTGGCCCGTACGATCGGCCGTCAGAGCTGCCACTCTTACCTGGTAGTCAAGGATGCTGAAGCCGAGGCCTTTGTCTCGCTCTTTCTGCAGCTCCAACACCTGAATGTCCGAAGACCACAGAGCAAGCTCTCCGTCCTCATCCTCCTCATCTTCCTCCTCTTCTTCTTCCTCATCCTCTTCCTGGGTGTAGTGGGTCTGCTCCTCCCTCAGCACCACCTCTACAGGTGAGACCTGCTCCTGACACAGAAACATTTAAACGGCAGTTAAAGCACGCTCAGCGAGGACATGTTTCAGGACATTCACACGTAATAAGTGATAAATAGGCTGGTCCTTAAATACCTCCAACTCTACCTGAGCACTCAAAGTGCTTCGTGCAACACTCTCCGTTCACCAGTTCACATTCACACACATGGACGCGCCCAAGGACACATTAGACCTGCTCTGTCTCCTGACCCATAAACCTGAGCAGGAAAGGTCGACGAGCCCGGCACTGAGGAGGTCTGTCCTAAAGTAAACTTCATATTCTCCGAGCAATCGCTCTGCGTGATCAGCAGTTTAGGAAGCTAACGCTGCTAGCTCACGTATTAGAGGCCGGGTGCTTGATTGTTTCATTGAACACTTCCTGTCATGGAGGAGTGTTTTAAGAAATGTTCAGAAACGAACTCAGGATGGAGTTAAATTCATACTCCAGAGTGACAGCAGGAAGTGAACCAGTCCATATAACAAATACAGTGCACCAGGGTTCGTGATCCTTCTTGTAACCCTCCTCTTCAGGAGGTAGAGAAGGAACGTTGGCAATTCAATCCCTGGCTGCTTGGCTCTGCATGCCAAACATCCTTGGACAAGATATCAACTCCAAGTTGCTCTCTGATGCATCCAGCACTTAAGCACTTAAGCATATAAAAAGTGTGTGTGTGCGTGTGTGTGTGTGGACGGTAGAATGAAGCATTTTGAGTGCTCAAGCAGAGAAGAAAAGCGCTATAAGAACAACCAGTCCATTTATCATTTGTGTGTGTGCGTGTGTGTGGTTGCAGAGGTTACCTGTCTGCCACTGCTATCATCTCTCAGGAGAGTCTGACTGCAGAGCATCGATGACAGCTTCATCTCGATCTAACAGACAGCACACGGTTATTCTCAGAGCTCCAGCAGCATTTCAAACCAAACAATGATGCTTTTCATCTTTACGATCATAACTGCTTATAAAGTAGTTGTTACTACAAATACCATCCCACGGCACAATAAACAGCCCTGTTCTCACCTCCTCCACACCCCGCTGCGACTGTCTGGCTGGTCCTGCTTTCGGTTCTAGTCGTAGTACTGGTTCTGGTTCAGATTCGGATTCTGGTTCCAGGTCGGCGATCGGGTGTCGGCAGCAGACCAGAGTGAACGGAGGAGGCACCTCTTTAAGGAACGACACCACTTCTCTGCGAGATTTTCCGTACAGCTGAACGTCGTTCACCTACACAAGAACAAAACATGATTACATCTCACAGTCACACAGCTGCAGTCTGTCTGATGTCCAGCAGAGGGCGACTCTGATGGTACGGTCTGTGAGACAATGAAGCTGACGATGACTTTCAGCTTGTAATCTGACCTCCAGCAGCTCGTCTTCGGGTCTCAGGACTCCGTGTCTGTCGACGGGGCCTCCGGGCGCCACCGACGAGATGTAGTGATGACCATCAAAGGAGTCCAACTCGACCCCAAGACGCAGAGTGTGGACAGGCAGCAGCTTTGATGACTTCTGCAGCTCTTCATCGTCTTCGATCACGGGATCCAAATTCACCATCTGATAAAACACAGACACACACACACACACACACACTGAGTGAGTCCTGGATCTCAGCAACACTGTGAAGCTTTTAATAATTTTGAATGTCTTGTCTCACCAGGACTTGATAATTAGGTCCAAGAGCCTGCTCCCACTTAGCCCTCAGTTCTGCCTCTGTTGTTGCACACACACACAC